GTGTGGTCCTATAATCCCTCTCACAGGAGTTACTGTTCCGTTGACCTGTGGTTTTATAATCCCTCTCACAAGACTAACTGTTCCATTGACGTGTGGTCCTATAATCCCTCTCAAAGAACTAACCGTTCCATTGACGTGTGGTCCTATAATCCCTCGCACAGGACTAACTGTTCCATTGACGTGTGGTCCTATAATCCCTCTCACAGAACTAACCGTTCCATTGACGTGTGGTCCTATAATCCCTCTCACAGGACTAACTGTTCCATTGACGTGTGGTCCTATAATCCCCCTCACAGGACTAACTGTTCCATTGACGTGTGGTCCTATAATCCCTCTCAGAGAACTAACTGTGCCATTAGCGTGTGGTCCTATAATCCCTCTCACAGGACTAATTGTTCCAATGACGTGTGGTCCTATAATCCGTCTCACAGGACTAACTATTCTATTGACGTATGGTCCTATAATCTCTCTCACATGACTAACTGTTCCATTGACGCGTGGTCCTATAATCCCTCTCACATGTCTAACTGTTCCGTTGACGTGTGGTCCTATAATCCCTCTAATAGAACTTACGGTGCCATTAACGTGTGGTCCTATAATCCCTCTCACAGAACTAACTGTGCCATTGACGTGTGGTCCTATATTCCCTCTCTCATGACTTACTGTTCCATTGACCTGTGGGCCTATAAACCCTTGCAAAGGGCTAACTGTTCCATTGACGTGTGGTCATATAATCCCTCTCACAGAACTAACCGTTCCATTGACGTGTGGTCATATAATCCCTCTCACAGAACTAACTGTGCCATTGCGTGTGGTCTTATAATCCCTCTCGCAGGACTAACTGCTCCATTGACGTGTGGTCCTATAATCCGTCTCGCAAGACTAATTGTTCCATTGATGGTCCTATAAACCCTTGCAAACGGCTAACTCATCCGTTGACCTGTGGTTTTATAATCCCTCTCACATGACGAACTGTTCCATCGATGTGTGTTCCTATAATCCCTCTAATAGAACTTACGGTGCCATTAACGTGTGGTCCTATAAACCCTTGCAAACGGCTAACTCATCCGTTGACCTGTGGTTTTTTAATCCCTCTCACAAGACTAACTGTTCCATTAACTGTTATCCTATAATCCCTCTCACAAGACTTACCGTTCCATTGACGTGTAGTCCTATAATCCCTCTCATATTCCATTGACGTGTGGTCCTATAATCCCTCTCACAGGACTAACTGTTCCATTAACTGTTGTCCTATAATCCCTCTCATATGACTAATTGTTCCATTGACGTGTGGTCCTATAATCCCTCTCACATGACTAACTGTTCCATCGATGTGTGGTCCTATAATCCGTCTCACAAGACTAATTGTTCCATTGACGTGTGATCCTATAATCCCTCTCACATGACTAACTGTTCCATTGACGTGTGGTCCTATAATCCGTCTCGCAAGACTAATTGTTCCATTGACGTGTGGTCCTATAAACCCTTGCAAAGGGCTAACTGTTCCATTGACGTGTGGTTCTATAATCCCTCTAACAGGACTAACTGTTCCATTGACGTGTGGTAATTTTTAATATTGTAGGTCAAACATCCTTATTTGGTCGGACGACGGACGCCAAGGTAAGACACAATATCACTTTAGTCCTTTGGAGAAGGTGAGCTAATTTTCCACGTTCAATTTCCAAAGGGCTACACTTTGAAGAATCTCTTTTGTGGTCTTTTTTCAACCGGAGTCAGTTTCCGACAGCTGACCGGTTTCATTTTCGACGTTGACAACTTCCATTTTCTATTGTGGTTCATTTTCAACGTTACACTGGTACGCCTCTCCACAGCTGGTCCGCGTGACCTAGGTATAAAATGTAACTTGAGATTAAATGTCATTTCGAAGCAGTCAGTTGGTTCGCAAAAGAAGTCCCGTGAGCTATTTGTTTAAAGACATCGGCCTTAATGCCTAATTATTGATTATGTTAACATTTTAATAACTTATAAGCTAGTACACAATAATCCTAATAACAGTTCTGAATTACGATGGTTAATTGGGGGTCTTTATATATTTGATGAATACATCATGTTTTAGAAGACTTGTTGAGCCTTTTTTGTTTCAGGTATTTGTTTTTTTCGTGAAAGGAACTATGATTTGACTTTATTTTCGTGTAACGAGATTCAGGTTAGGATACTTTTACGGTGAGACCGACTAAAGGTCGTCTACATAGGTAAGGGGAAGTAACTCTAGTAAACCTCTCCAGTCAAGGCAGAAATCTTACGTTTTCAGTATTAAATTCATGCACATTTTAAAAGTGTGATGCTTATGTATATGTTTTGGTATTCTGCTATATGTATTATTTTGGTATTCTGCTATGTATATAAAATCTGATCGTGTAATCTGATAATTGAGCAGTGGGCATCCTTGGCCGAGAGCTTTAAGAGTAGTATGATTTCTGACACAGAGAGTGGATCTACCGATGAACTACTACTCAATAACAAATAAAAGTTGACAGGCAATAAACTTAAGAAATAACACTAGACAAAACTGGGTAGGTTGATCAGTTGGAGCCAGTGAGACGTTAAAGTTGTAAAGGTTATCCGACAACCAGGAAGGATTATGAAATGTTCTTTTTACACAACCAATAAGATTTAATATGTGACGTTTCGATGACTAGTGCGACAAATGAAAAGTGAAGCGTATGCACACAAAGGTGTAAAATGTGTACGAGTTGTCCACCAAATCGAGTCGATTCGGCTACGCTGTAAGCGTATGTACAATAGTTGTTATATATGTACCGAAATGACTCGATTCGGCTACGCTTCGTTTAATAATTGGTCATAGATGTGCGAGAGTCTTTGAGCCCCCTCATCTCGATTTAGAACTGGCCCACTGCAGAGTATCCAGATTGCTTCCTTTATCTGCCGCTTGAACAGATTGCTCTCTCTGTATTTCTAGCATTTTCAGACTTGAATGTGTTTTATGTAAGTCTTTACATCTCAGCGTAAACACAAGGTGATTTCTATGTCTCGCTAATTTCTTTTCTACGCTCTATAATTTCCGCACATCTATGACAATATCTTGTCTGTACTTTGTTCGGATGTTTCTAAACATTTTCTTCAGGTTGGTAAGTATGGCTTATGAGAAGTTCTTTTTACACAACCGATAAGATTTTCTATTTGGATTTAGGGGTTTTATAGAAAATAACATTATGAAAATCATCAACATATCAAACGAACGATATATTACTGCGTGACAAAGAAAACATTGTAGTTCCATGCTCCCAAGTATGAGGAAGACATCAACACATAACTAGATACGACAGCGGGTAACGTGAACTCTAATCGTATTTTCGGTGTATTACCTCGAAAAAATGGCGTATAAATTAATTCAATGATGCTTATTCACAGCGATAAAGTGTAAAGGTGTTTTTATGTACAGCAAAAAGCAAACTGAGAGCCTAATAGTGTTCAAGAATGGCGCTTTCACTTTTTCGCCTCTTCGGCTA